TCTTTTCTTTCTGTTTTGACAGATTCATAGAATGATTTTGTGTACGCTAAAGAATGTGTTATCATTATCATTATTTATTTTCATAATGATGATAATTTAATTGAGTTTTTTTTTAATGATAAATTATTGTGTATGTTTTTTTAGACATATGGTTGATTAACACGTTTGTTTATTCAATTTAAATATAAGGTAATTAATATATTTAAGTGGTATTTAAGTATCAAGAAATAAATTGAACAGTGTTGAGGAATTGGTGGGTGAGAAAATGTATGTATTTATACAGGCAGATGTTTTCCTATTATTTTTTTTCGATTTATGTAATGAAAATTTTGAATATGTATACTTAAGTAAATAAATATTTTAACGTATAAATTTTTATCGTGTAATTGACGCGCAAGTTTTTTTTATAAAATTTCTCATAGAGTATTGTTTATTATATATTAGTCATTCAATGTATAGAATTTTGATTAAATCCTAAAATTTATAAATATACAGTTGTTCCTCGATATATGTCGGTCCTATTTGTGTTGGTGAAATTTTTGTTCCTCTTCTATGTCGTCAGTTTTTGATAAATTTGCACCCAAGTTCATAAATTTGTTAGTCAAATTTATTAACAATTTTGTTAGTCAAACAGCTGACATTATAAATGTCATATTCATATGACGTAATATGTCAGTTTTTAACATCGTAAATAGATAATTTACTTCAAAAAGGAGTTCGATTAATATTCTGGACTCTGCTTCAATACCAGTTTGTGTGAAAGTTTCATCTGTACACCCTTTCATCTGTTATATACCCTTTACAATCGAACTCTGTATTCTACACACAAAAACGTTCTAATCCTTTCCTTCCAAAGGATTAGTGAATTTGTGTGCTCTAGTAAAAGGAAAGCTGGATTTTTGTAAAAAAATAAAAGAATTGACGGAATTTGAAAGAATTGTTCAAGAGAATTGAAAGAATTATTGGAGTATTGCAGATTATCATTTGCAGAAATTGGGCAGAATCTGCGTGTTGACATCTATATAATTGGGTGGAGTAATGCCTGAGCAGGTCCATAATTATATGAAGTTTATTAGCTTGACAGATATTTTATAGACGATGAGATTTTACAATAAGCGTTTAAGGTGACATTGACTTGGTCTTAAATTTACCCCTTCCAACTATTAATTGGATATTAGTTTTAATTTCTGTTTTATGACAAAATACATTTTTGAATTAGATCTTCCTGCTTTTTTGTAAATTTTATTTTAAAATTCAGATATCGATGATTCATTTTATAATATCTTGTATACCATATAATATTTAAGTACATATATACCTAAATATACACATATTCATATAGATATTAACAAAATTTTAGCTTCTCTTCTTCTATACCGATTCTACATCTACTCTATAATCGAATAAACAATCAAAATATTTAACACTGTTACTACAATACGATTAAGAATTGTTAAAATGTGAAAAAATTTCTCCATTGAAGAATTTCCTGTGAATTAAAACCAATATACTGGCATATACGCACTATGACTCATTTAATTTATTTGGATGTACATACTTGGGTATGTATGTACATATCAAATTCCAATATTAATTTATATTACACGTTTTTTTTTTTTTATTTTTTTATTATCAAAATAGCAAGAAAACACAAAAAAAAATACGATATTTTGTTGATTGATTGAAAATTAAAACAACTTTAATATTTATTTCCAATTTTTTATATTCTTATACTATAATTAATAAATTTGCGTCTAGAATTTAATTTTGACTAGAATTCTATGAAATTTATATACTAGAATTTTATTGTTTTTGAATTTTGATGAATGGCTAAACACTAATCTTGTATCGTATATAGTTTAAATAAAAAACAGGTTTTTATCAAATTTAATAGAATAAGAACAAGGATATTTTGTATTAAAGGTCAAATATTTAGTTTTATTTTTTAATTGTGGTTAATTTTTATAACTACTTATACACAATTAATTTCTGAATTGGCTAACTATAAATTTAAGTATTCTCTTTATATTTACCGCTCATTATTAAGTGTAGAATTTGAGTATAATTGTCAAAATAATCATTAAATTGAGTATATGATTTAAATTTATACACATACATACGTATGTGTTGAGTAAGACGCCCTCTTCTTGTAAAGAATTTTCTTCAGTGAATAAATTTTGAACCGTGAGAATTTAATTTGATATTGTATGTTTACTTAATTTATTATTGTCTTGAGATAACTGCTCAAAGGAATGTCGGTATAACACTACTATACACACAATACTCGTATACATTTAATGATTTACACAAAAAGAAAAGTCATAACAATATATTAGAATAATTTGTGAATTATTTTTTTTATGAAAGTTATACTGATGAATCACATTTAAAGATATAAAAATTTTAGTATAATATAAAAACATGATAAAATGAAAAATTAGCAATATGCTTCAAAGAACAACAAAAATAGAGTAACAAAAAGAAATTTCGCAGTTGAAAGTAATCATCAAAAATTGAATTGCTCTTGACATAATTGGTTGGATTGGAAAAAAATTAATATAGAAAATGATTAAAACTAGTTTTTCATGATTATAATAACATCATATAGTTGTAGTCGGTAGACCCGACACGATAATAAATATGGGCAAGGTCGAGTCTATCACGTCTTATGCTAGCTGTAATACTGCATTTTGCAGAAGGCTAGATGTAGTACTATGGGTGGCGATGGGAATCACAAAAGATCTTATTTTTTATTTAAAATGCACGGCGAGTGCGTAATTATCACAAAGGCGTTCGAATACTATCAATTAATATTTCTGGCTGAAACTCATGCTAACTGTGTGCTGCTTCTGAGAGGAACCTTAGGAGGGGTAGGATCTTCATAATGTTGGAGAATAGGTCCGTTCCTAGAGACCTTTTTTTTAACTGAAAAGGATGGTCATGGTGAAGTCTGTCGCTGGCTGCAATGCTGCAATTTGTAAGGAGACTAGACGTAATGCTGTAAATGGTGATGGGAATCACAAAAGATTTTATGGGTCGACGCGAGGGGGACCTAAGGCCTCGGTCGCGTCCTACAGAAAAAAAAAGGTTGGACGAATTAATTGTGCTTTAGGTTTCGATAATTTACTATACTTAATAAATATAAGAAATCTGAATAAGTAAAATATAGTCAAAAACCTTAATAAGTACATACCTTCAGTTGTTAGCCTTCTTACTTCTAATTTTTTCATCTAAAGAACGGTATTTTTGTCTAAGAAAGAGAAAATGCAATTTTTTGATTCGTAGCAATTTTGAGTTTTTTTTTAATTTTGCAAAAAATTCTGAGTAGATTTTTTATTGATCTTGTTGTCGATAACATTTTGACCTCAATTTTGATTTTAAATAAAAAATCGGAATTTTTTTTCAAAGAATTTTATACCTTTTACAATTTATTTAAAATTTTCACATATTTTGACATTGACAATAAAATCACACTTTTGTTTTTATTTTTTTCATATAAAATCTGATAAAATATGGAATTCTTTTGATTTTGGCGTCAAAACAATTAATATTCTTCGGAATAAACAAATTTTATCAAAGAATAAATCAATTGCATTATTTATACAATCATTTGTTGGTGGTGTTGTTGTTGTTGTTGTTCCATCTACATCATTATTCATTATTGTTGTCTCAATAATTCTTTGTGTATCATATAAAATGAAACCGATAATTGTAAATAAATTCAAATAAGATTGAATTTTATTGATATTATTAGAATTTTGAAATAAATTGATTGCTGTTAAAATTGCTTGTACATTTAAAATATGTGGTAAAATATTTTTTAAAAAATAATATGTTCTTCTTTCAGCCATTAAACTAATTATTGTTAATATAAAAAATGTTATTATACTTGTTACTATTGATATAATAATTAATTCTGGTTTCTTTTCCATACCAACTTTTATAATTGGTCCAATTGCTTGTCCACAAAAAAATCCAAACCAATATAAAATATAAAGACGTTTTATAAAATTTTCATTATTTTCACTTGTTATTGAATTCAATAGTATAATTAGAAATAATGCAAATAATACTGCAAAAATTGTTGTTCTTAAAAATCCAATTAAATGTAGATAGGAGCCAAAGCATGCAAAAAATAATGTTATTCCAAAATGAAAATAGGTTCTCTTAAGATGTTCAATACAATTTTCATTAATATTTTCAGTGATTTTATTTAAAATACTTGTATACCAAATAGAAATTTTATTATTTTCCGACATTTTTTGAATTATTTTAATATTAAAATTTGGAAACCGAAAATTTTGTTTTAATTTTAAATAAAAAAAAAAGAATTTTGAATAAAAAAAAATATTTATTTTATTGTCATATTGATTTTATAAATTTAATTTTTGAAATTAAAAACAAAGCCTACACTATATACAAAAAAAAACAACAAAATTATTACATTTGAATAACTAGAACGGAAATCAGAATTAAATAATCCATTTCCTCCCCATAGTTTTTCCAATTCCATATTCGAATTAAATTCTTATATGTAAGGCTATAAATTTTGGATGTTATAAAAAACTTGTGGGTTAAAATTTTAATTATTATTATTACCATAGTTATTTTATTAAAAATTATTGATTTTGGAGAATGAGTCGAGCGAAAATTCAATAAAATATTGTTACTTAGTTATTTAAGAAAATATTTAAAATTGTTAAAAAAAAGTAGTAAATTTACTACTTTGTATACATGGAGTTTAATCATTATTACTATTAATTTACTAATAACCTTTCTTATATATAGGCATATATATAATTTACTAATGCTACCAAAGTAATAATTACTAAACTATGTACTTTTATTTTCTATATGTACTCGCTAACAATAGACAGTGCTTGTATGTACTAACATACTAACATTTTGGCTAATCCAAATCTAGTAAAAATTAGTTATTTTTTGTTTTGTTTTCTGCCTTTTTTTTTTTTGTTCTTAATTTTTTGTTTATGTTTTTATAGAGACGCCGGGAACGTGGTCGTATTCCAATAAAAGGAGTTCGCCTAGTCGAAAATGCTGAATTAAATGGAGATTGTGGTGATCCTTTTGCACCAGAGGTGATTTATACTATAAGTTTTTTTTTTCTTATTTTATATTTCTGTAAAACTCTGATTGCTTGACTGTTTGATCTATTTATTTTCAAATATTTTATTTATTTTAATAGCATTACAATGAAATAAATCTAAATTTTTCAAATTTTTAATAATTTAATAAAAAAGTCAAACGGAAATGTTGAATCTGTAAAAAACTTCAATGAAATAATTTAAAATTTTTCCAACTGATGGCGCTGCCGTTGACTCATTTGTCATTTTTATGTTTCTGATGACACAAATTTACAATAACGGTAATTCTTAAAATGAGCTTAATGAAATAATTAAATAATTTGTATGTATATTATATTTTGTGATGAAATGTTTATATTTTATGTTTAGTTGAAATACAAAAATTTGTTCTGTTGTTATGTTGTACTCTAAGTATTAAATTGTGTTCTAAAAATATTATACAGTAATTTAAAAGAACTAAAATTTATATACGTTATTGAGCCTGAATTTCATTTGAATATAACAATAAAATTCTGAATTCACAGTTCAAAAATCTTATCATTTATTACAGCTATTTATTATTACAAGTAATTAGAAGTGCTAAAGAAAAATTACTTAATTTTAAAAATAAATAAAAAAATTTTTTTTTCTAAAAATGACATGCGTTTTTTATGTAAAAATCTAATTAACATGTGATGTAAAATATTGGAAGTGTTAAAAATATTAAATCTGGATTAACACTTGAATTTTGACACTTTAATTTTAATATATGTATTATTTTAATTAACTTCAAATACTTAGTAATGATAGAATTGACCGTTATGTAGACACTTAATATTGTTGACGTAAAACTTTGAAATTTAATGATTTTCTAATGAATATACTTGATGATAATAAGTGCATCAAATAAAAAAAATTTAATTTTTCGTGATTCATTAATTAAATCTTTATATGCATGCATATATTGTCAAAATTAGACATTGTACCATGTAGTGCCTAAAGTGCTATAGGATGTTATTATGATGTCTAGTTTGTATATCGGTCGATAAATTTATTACGATGATAAATTATATCCATTTTTTAAGAAATGTTAGATTAAATGAAAATGTTATTTATATTAACAACTTTGTATTTAATTAGCACTTTTGAAAAAAAAAATATTATTCATCTCAATATAGTAGTAGATGTGGGACTAGATATAAATCAAAGCAAGAGCACATTGGTTGGCTTCAAAAAACATAGGAATAGGGAACAATTAACGAGCCCCACTCTGTTTGATGGACGCATTGTGTAGTCTAAGGGAGGTTAAGCATCTGAGCGCATCCCCAAATGATCAGCCCTTCTTCAATATTGGGTCATCGGTCACATTCATAGAATCATCAAAAGAGCAATGACGGCCTTGTACGGATGGGTGTGCAGGCCAAGTTTTTGAAGTTTCAGAGGGCTTGTCTGGGAGGGACTGGGTCAAGGCGGACGGTACTCACGGCTTCTTTGAAGGCATTCGTTGGACTTTGTGCGGGAAGATCAGCTAACGACTAACTCACTTCTTATTGGTGTTTATGTCGCAGGCAAAAGATTGACACATGATACTCTTAAGGCCTTTGCCGTATTATTTTTGAAGAATTGAAATGTATTATGAATATTAGATAATGCACAAAATTAGAAATTTCTATAACAATTTTTCCCTTTCACTAATCTAATTTAAAATATTTAAAATCCAATCTTATACTATAAATCTTTGAACAATTTTTAAAACCAAAATAATGTAAACTAATTTTTTTTTAAATAGAGATCAATCTTTCATTTTTATAAAAAAACTTATGTATATTTGATCATTGTCTTCATAATTAAATAAATATTTATCTCACGTGCAACAAAAAAAAAGAAAAAACTTGTTATAAATCCAGCAGGGGCTTCATTTTTTTTTCCACAACTTTTAACTCAAATAGAAAACCAAATTTTTCTTTCTTTTTTTTGTTGATTTCTCAGAATTAACATCTAATACATGACAATACATAAAATTTTGAATTTTTCTATAATTTTTTTTTCTTATTTAACACGTAATTTTTTTCTACTCCTCTTTTTTCTTTAGTTTATTAATGTGTAATATTTATTTTTATAATTTTAGGGTTTTTCATTTCAAGTAGGTTATTGTGAATTAGATGATAAATTATCTGGAAGAACAATTCCTCAATATACACTATATTTAGTATCGGAAAGTGAAAAAGAACGTTTTGAATGGATTAGAGCTATTAGACAAGGTAAATGTATAGAAAATATTATAATTATGCATATACTAAGAAGAGTATTGTTAAATTTGAAAAAAAGGAGATAGAAGAATTTTAAATTATATGTAATTAAATTTAAATAGATAAAAGTTATTTTCAAACAAAAAAAATTGCATAAATCTAGGCGACAAAAGAATTTTTTTTTAAATGGTTTGTTCAACTTTATTTAATTATTTTGGTATATTGTCGAAAAATCTAGTTAATAATTTTAATAATAATTTGAAACTCTATTAATATCCAGTTGAAAATTAAAATTTTTGTTTTACATTTTCTTTTAAATATTTATTTTACATTGGGCTTACAAATTTAATGTATTGAATATTTTATTTCAGTTTGTGAAGAAACAAATACACAAAAATCATTTAGATTTCATATTGGATTATGGAATGGTAAAAAGTGGTCTTGTTGTCGAAGTATAAATCGAGCGACATTTGGTTGTCAAGCAGCAACACATTGGCGTGAAACAAACAACAATCCAAGTAAGTGTAATTTATTTTATTATTCAAAAATTTTATATTAACTACATTGAAACGAATATTAAGAATAATTTTACCATACTTAATTATAAAATTATATATGAAGGCAAGTTTAAGCGGTTGGAGTTGAAGTCAGTCATTAATTTAATTACAATTTAAATCAATTTGATAAAATCAATTATCGATTTTGTGTTTATTTCATTCATTTTTTCAAAACACAAAAAGTTTTTCATAAATTTTCATGAATAAGGTGAATTTTAACAAGAATTTAATTTCGTATGAATTCCATGTTAAAAAAATTTGTGAGGTCTATAATATTACAAACATAATTATGTCTTATGTAATCTTTTGCAAAAATTTATGCAAAATTCTGATTAGAAGTTGATATTAAGTAAATTTTTGTATGCATTAGTTGTTTACAAAAATTTGTGCACACAAAATAATTTTACTATTTTTCCATAATTTGTACCAATTTCTTTGAGCTTATTATAGTTTATAATGCATACTCGAACTATATTAATAAAATCTCACTAATAACAACGAATTACAGCCTTACTTTAGAATTTGCTCTTATTTATGCTGAAATCCCGAAGGGATGTCGTATAAGAAATTTATCAGATCGGAACATAACACATTCGTGTGAGACGCGGTGCATTATTAACCCAAAAACACAATATACAATCTAATAATAAATTATTATTTACGAATATTATATTTTAACGGTATCTTTAATTATTATAAACCTAATAACGGTATATACCTTATAATATTAATTAATGTCATTAATAGTCATTTTAGAATAATTTATTTGCCTATTTCATTCGCAATTTTAAATATGTATTATTAAATATTTTATTATTTGAATAAAATCTTGTCGACTACAATAATAGATGTAAGAATTTATAAAATAAATTCCAATCAATGGAAATCACTATATCACTTCTATATCAATTATCAATTATACATATGTACATATTTACTATTGTATATGTATATTAAAAAAGTAAAGTGTTAAGTTGCATTTATACATTTTATCACATACTTATACACAATTATTACATTTAAAAATTCATTTAATTGAAAATGGTTTTTTTCTTTATTAAACAAATTGAAAACAAATTTTTTTCATTATAAAGAATGAAAAATAATTTGTAATTCCCATATTTATTTTTTTTTTATCTAGTTTTTATTAAATATTAAATTACAAATGCACATACAATAATAATCATATGTAAATATTAATGTTAATAATAATGATAAAAACAAGAATAATAAAATTTTCAAAAGTGTTTTTTACTTGAAATATTGAGGCTAATAAATTATTATATAAAATAAACATTTAATAAAAGAAAAAGAAAAAAAAAATTGAAAACGAGGAATGAATATAAATTTGAACTATGCAAATATGTGTGCATATGTGAGTGTGTACATATTATATTACATACACCATAATATTTAAATTGTTTAAAACTATATTTAAAAATTTTATCCCATCTCTCTTCTCTTATACTTATAAGATCATTTTTATTCGATCCAAGATTTTTAAATTCGATTCGATTCTATTTTTGAAAAAATTTATTCTCTAACTTATTATTATTATTATTATTGTTATTATCATTTTATCTCTTTTACTCTCTCTTTTTCACTCCCTTCCTTTTCTTCTGTTTTATATGAAATTGTAAAATAATATTATAATGGAAATGAATTTTCCATCTATTAAATTCAAGACATTCGAATATGCATTCCTCCAATACTTACGTAAGTATGTATGTATGTATACATAATATAATTTGACTATGAAAATAGAAAATATTATAAAAATTAATAATAAAAAAAAAAAAGAGCCAATTTTTTTGAGTCAGTGTGGTTTAAAGAACGGTGTGTGGTGTGTGCCTCTCTAAATGAACTCATTTCTTAACAGCACTTTTCTGATGAAACCATCATTTTTTTTTCTTTTTTATCTTATGTATTTATTGTTTTTATTTTTGGGCTTTTTGTTGAATTTTTAATTTTGGTTTAGTTCAATTTTAGTTTTCTTTTTCTTTTTTTAATTTTTTTATAGTTTATTTTATTGTTAGCATCTTATATAAAGTATAGTGTTGAAGTGAATGCAATAACGACCAATTCACAAATTTTTTAAACAAGCAGGAACGACAAAGAAAGCAAGAAAAATAAAAAAATCTTTTGAAGTCACAAAATATAAACATACAAAAAGAAAAAATTTAAAGAAAAAAAAAAGTAAAGATTAAAATTTCGAATTTATATATTTTTACAAATACACTGATAAAAAATGATCAAGAGAAAATATAAAAACAAAAATTGAAAAATATTTGTTCTTGCAACTGTGGGGTTAAGCGTTTTTTTGATCAAAATAAACGCGTCCTATATTATTTAAAATTGAACTGTCAGATAACATATGCTTCAATACAATTGTTATTGTAAAGTACTCTTTACTACGAATTACATCGTATTGTTGTGTCTTGACTCTTCATATAAAATTACAATTTAAAATGTCTTTTGACGTTTTCATTTAAATTCAAGACATTTTATTCTTTGGATTGGAATTTTCAATGTACATGCCGACGTGTTAATTTTTGGTTACTACTTTTAGTTACTAAAACTTAATTCTGCTTAAGATATTTTAAATAATTCAAAATGAAAATTTTGACTTGGTTTTACGAAGACATAAGGACCTAAATAGTTTTGTCAATAATTGTTTAATAATTATATAAATGATTACTTTGATAATTTTACATAATGAAACTAATTATTTCTTTAATATTGTTAATGACATTAACATATTGAATTTTAAATTACAGAAATTTATAATTTACAGAAATTGTATTTTATTCGTAATTTATTAAATTGTGCGTGTATGGATATTGTATATTTATATAGAATAATTGTCATCCATTATTTATTTAAAAATATCAACATAATTTGTTATTTACGTGATATGATAAGAACATTATTTCTGCAGCAATAAGTTATAATCTCGTGAGAACAGCTCCTCAATTTATGAAATATTTGATGTATTTGGCTTGTTTAAGAAAATTTTGGTTCACATACTTAATGTGACCAAAATATATGGGTAAACTGAATGTAATCATCACGTGTTTTGGATGATTTTGTCAAAGCGTGTTTGAAATCGAGTGTTTGCGCGAGTGTAAAATTAAATTTACAAAATCTAGATTAAAATTTATATATGATATTTAATTATTGCAATTTTTTTTGATTAGTTTGGAAATTGGAAAATTTTTTATCGGTTTTTTCTATTTTACAAGTTCAACTAAATTTTGAAAATTTTAAAAAAAAAATTGTTTAAATTAAACTTTTAAGCCGCTTTAAGTGAATTATTTTATTCCGAATAATTTTTTTTTTTTTTAATTAAGTCAAATTTTTTTCGGATTTTACCATGGAAAACATAAAAAATTCAAATATTATACAATTTTGATTTTTTGTATTTAAGCAGTTTTGTCTAATTGTCATTCAATTATTACGAATTTTAAATTGAAAACGATATTCATAATACATTTTTAAATACATAATAAATTTTTGTAAATATATATACATACATAACATTAAAATAGTAGGTATAAAAAGAAAAAACCTGGAAAACAGGTCTTTATCCATATATTTATCATATGTGTACCTACATATATCTTTGTTTTTTTTTTTGTCTTTTGCTTTTTTTTTCAATTTTTGTGTGTTGTACTTAAACTTACACCGTTGACTGTATATAGTACATTTGAAACAATATTGACTGTATAACAAAAACTATACTAGCTTATCCACTTAAAAAATATTAAGAAAAACAAATCAAATAAAAACAATAATAAAAAAATTAATAAAGAAAACAGCAACAAAATACACATAAGTTGCATGAAATGAAAAAAAAATAATAATAATAAAAAAAAAAGCAAAAATTTCATATCTTTTTGAATATTTTTGTTTTAAATGAATTTCGTGTAGTATATAGATTTTAGATTTCAGTTCAGTACTGTATTGGCTTTCATTTCGATAGGTTCGTGTCTTTAAAAAGGAAAATAAGAATTTTTTTTTTTTTGTATTTAAAATCGTTTAATGCGGTTGTCGGTGTTTTATTTTTTTTCGTTTAAAAAAAAAATACTATGTTATGTACTTACATAAACTTACGTATATATATGTACATAAATATTTTAATATACAATTAAAATATAAATGAGAAAAAAGAAAAGAAAAAATGTAAAATTAACCTGAAATGTGAGAGAGAAATTTCAAGTTTTACAACTTAAAAATCAAAAAAATAAAGTAAAAAAAAATAACAAGTAAAACTCTTTTTTTTTGGTATTTTACATAAATAGTGTATTTATATACATATATATATATATATATACAAATATATATATATATATACAAATATATATATATATATGTTTAAGAAAATATTTTATATAATAAAGAAAAGAAGAAAAAAGAAAAGATACCAATTTTTTGGTAGTTTGAAAAAATAATATGGAAAATTTTCTAAAAAAAAAGCAAAACACAAAAAATTTGTAAATGAAAAACATAATTAATGATTTTAATTATAATTTTAAAATTTCTTACATACAAACATAATTAAATTCAAAAATATTAAACATCATAAATTTCTTAAAATTATTAAGATTTTAAATAAAAAAAATTTCTTCAAAACTCAATATTAATTATTGCTTGAATATCAATGTATGTGTATGTATATTAGTTCATATATATCATACATAAGTATACATGTATGAAATCGTTATGTCTATACACATACACCCATACAAATTGTATGAAATATAAAAATTATAATAAATGCTCATTTTGAATATTAAATTAAATAAATAAATAAAAAAAAAAAAATATTTTAGAATTTAAATTATATTGAGTGTTATACATAATCTATTTATAGTATAATACATCATTAATATCTATATATTATATAAAATTAGATATTTTTTTTAAAATAAAATAAGATATAAATTACGTTTTAAAATAAA